GGGATATCCCCCCTCAATGTTGCACTAGGAGAATGGCGGCTCTCCTGGGAGTGGCCTTGGGGAAGACTGACTCGGCTGCGGTGCATCGCATCCCTGGCTCAGGCGAGCTTTACCTCCGAGCGAAGGTTTGGCTGGATGGTCGGCTTCCACTCCCGACTTCGGTCCCTGCTGCTCATGATAAGGGAGGGATAGGGCCGTTCTCGGCGTCGATCACGTTCAAAAGACTTCCCCAGTTCTGCTACCTATGTGGGATCCTAGGTCATACTGGGCAGAGCTGCCCTCGACGCGAGGAACTGGCTGGATCGGTCACACCCTATGGCAAGCACCTGATTACAATGAAATCTGGCCCGAAGGTGAATGAGCGGTCTCTGCTCACCAGGAAGCAATTCACCTGGGTGCGCCAGGAAGCCGCTGCGAATTCGGCGCAAGGGCAGTTACCTCCTCAAAAGGGTTCGCTGCGGCTCATGGCTGATCAGGGGCGAAAAGATTTGGATGCGGCTGGGATGGCTAAGCATCTCCTGCCTTCGGGGGGATTTCCTGCTCTTGATAATGTCCCTGCCAGGGAAAGAGACATGATGAAGCAGACTACAGCCTCGTTGATTAGGCAGAGGGAGATGATGCTTGATTCATCAACTGCTGGCGTATCGAAGAAAGCTCGATGTGAGCAGATGGATACTTCGACTGATGTTGCGAAGGATGATGAGGTGGTGGCAACCAGCCCGAACTGGTCCCACCCGGCGCCATGAGTCTACTCGCCTGGAATTGTCGGGGGCTTGGCTCACCCCTGACCATTCCTTCCTTGTTTGGAGCTGTGTGTAGGTTCGCTCCCTCTGTTATTTTCCTTAGTGAAACCAAGAATGTCGATGATTATGTAAATAAGAAACTCTTGCGTATTGGGTTTCCATTTGTTCATTGCGTATCCCCTGTAGGTACAGCAGGCGGATTAGTAGTAGCTTGTGCAGCTAGTGTTCAGTGTCGTGTAGTAAGGCAGGCTGAGTTCTTCTTGTTTGTGGAACTTCAGCATGTGGTGTGGGGTTTGCTAGCAGTAGTCTTTGTCCACCTAAACAATGATGTAAATATCCGCCATCTTCAGTTTAATGAACTTGCAGATTTGCTTTCGTCTAGTGTGTTACCAAAAGTGGTCATAGGAGATTTTAATTGCCTCCTCCAATCTACTGAGAAGATGGGTGGCCGACCTCCCTCCTTCCAGGTGATGGAAGCCTTCCGTTCCTTTCTCGATGGTGCAGGTTTGGTTGATGTTGGGTATAAAGGACCCCCAATTACATGGTCTAATCGGCAAGGTCTATCAACTCATATCTTAGAGAGACTAGACAGAGCTTTAGTTACTGACAATCTCATGTCTCTATGGCCACTTATGCAGATTAACCACCTCTCAGATCTCGGGTCTGATCACAGGATCATCTTGCTGCAACTAGTTCCTGGAGCAGGGAAAGGGAAACCGCGCTTCCATTTTGATAGTAGGTGGTGTTCTAACCCTGCTGCCCGGGAAATTGTTCTTGGCGAATGGCAGGCTGCTGCCCAAGGAACTCCTCAGTTTCAGCTATTCTTGAGATGTAAGGCAGTCAGGCACCGATTTGTGGAGTGGTCAATGCTGGGGACTACCAACTCAGCCAGAAAGATCAGGGAGCTAAGATCGGCTATAGAGGCTGAAAGGGAAGTTCCAGCAGTCAATTGGGAGGTGATTCAGGGCCTGGAATCTCAGCTCGAGGCGGCATATCTGCAGGAGGAAGCCTATTGGAAGCAGAAATCCCGAAACTCTTGGCTGCAACTTGGTGATGCCAACACAAATCACTTTCACCTCTCGACCACTCAACGGAGGAGGCACAATCGTATAGAGGTCCTGCGAGATGAAGATGGGAACCGCCATGTTGAAGAAGAAGGCAAAGGCAGCATCTCAGTTGGATTCTTTCAACATTTATTCACATCCAATGGGATCCCTCCGAGCTACTTGGTTAATGCTTTGGGAATTCTGCCAAGGATTGATCATGCTCAGAATTCTTTCCTGGCTGCCCCTGTAACTCGAGACGAGATTCGGTCTGCAGCTTTCAGCATCGGGCCAGGCCAAGCCCCGGGATCGGATGGGCTGACCGGTGCTTTTTTCCAGGCTTATTGGGATATTCTTGGCGACTCAGTTTGCAGAGCAGCTCTGTCTTTCTTCCGATCTGGCCGTCTGCTTCAGAACTTCAATCACACGGTTATTACTCTCATTCCCAAGGTCATTAATGCTGAACTGATGAAGCAAATGCGCCCGATCAGCCTGTGCCAGGTCTTCTACAAGATAATTTCCAAGATCCTTACTACTAGGCTCAGTGTTATTCTTCCTGGCGTGATCTCAGACTCTCAGAATGGGTTTATCAAGGGAAGAGATATCTCTGATAACATTCTTATTGCGCAGGAGGTAATGCAGTTTTTAAAGACGAAGAACTCGGGAAGGGACAAATGGATGGCTCTCAAATTGGACATGGAGAAAGCATATGATCGGGTCGAATGGGGCTTTCTTTTTGCAGTAATGGAAGCCTTAGGTTTCGGCCCCCAGTGGATGAAATGGATAAGGGCTTGCGTCACTACGATTTCCTTCACTGTCCTCCTCAATGGTAACGAGCATGGGTACTTCAAACCACAACGGGGCATCAGACAAGGTGACCCGTTATCCCCCCTCCTCTTTGCCATTTACACAGAGGCTTTCTCAACTCTGCTCCAGAATGCGCTAGGATTACAACAGTTACATGGGATAAAGGTTCATCGGCTTGCCCCAACCATATCACATTTGTTTTTTGCTGACGATACCTATCTATTTCTGCGGGCAACTTCCTCTGAGTGTGACAATCTGCTTCAGATGTTGAGGCCTTTTGAGGAAGCTAGTGGGCAACGAATAAACCTCCAGAAGTCATCAGTTTGTTTTAGCTCAAATGTGTTGGAACAGGAGAAGACTTTGTTGGCGAATAAGCTTGGTATCTCTTCTATTGGACCTCTGGACAAGTATTTGGGGCTCCCGGCTCAGATTCAACGTTCTAAGGTACAGACTTTCCAGTTTGTTGAGGATAGCCTTGCTGCCCGCATCCAGAGTTGGCGCTCCAAGTCCCTCTCTCTTGCTGGAAAAGAGGTTCTACTCAAAGCTGTTGGCTCGGCGTTGCCGGTGTATACTATGTTCTCTTTCAGGCTTCCTTCATCTTCCTATAGAAGGCTTAATAGTCAGTTGGCTAGGTTCTGGTGGGCTGGCCAAGACAAGGAGAGGGGGATGCATTGGATTTCATGGCCGGCAATTTGTGTAAGCAAATTCCATGGAGGACTTGGTTTTAGGGATTTTGACCTTTTCAACATCGCGATGCTTGGGAAACAGGCTTGGAAGGTTCTGATGTGTCCAGACTCTCTTCTTGCACGGATTTACAAGGCTCGTTATCACCCAAACTGCGACTTCCTTGCTGCAACAGCGGGATCCCGGCCTTCTTGGGCTTGGCAAGGCGTCCTTGAAGGGCGAAATCTGCTCAAGCAAGGCCTGCGGTGGCAAGTAGGTTGCGGTTCAGCAATCCGCACCCTCGAGGACCGTTGGCTGCCTTCGACACCACCGTCTGCTCCTTCCCTGCTGCCCGGTATCTCTCTTCCCAACCCCTATGTGGCTGCCCTTATACATCCCATTACTAGGACCTGGAATGGAGACCTCATTCGTGCATCCTTTACCCCTGAGAGTGTTTCATGGATCCTCTCTATCCCACTTCCTTCAGCACCTCTGCCCGACAAGCTCATCTGGCACTACTCGGATTCAGGGCAATATACTGTCAAATCGGGTTACCAACTACAAGCAGCCAGCAGACAACTACAGTTTGAGCAGCTCCCCCCTCATCTCAATACAAAATTCTGGAAGACATTATGGAGCCTCCCAATCCCCCCCCCCCCAAACTCAAGTTCTTCCTTTGGCGGGTTGTGCGAGGCTTCCTCCCATTGCAATCTGTTCTGCACAGGAAGCACCTCTGTGATACTGATGTTTGCTTGATTTGCTCAGAGAATGCAGAATCTATATCTCATTGCTTTCTTGAATGCAGGGTCGCGCGCGCAATTTGGAATCTGGCTGGGAAGGAGAATCTTCGGCTAGCTATGTCTAACGTGCCCATTGACCTCGCATGGCATGATCTGTTTTTTTCTATGCAGCTCTCGAAGGCCCAAATTGCAGAAGTTGTGTTCCTCAGCTGGCGTATATGGAAGGGCCGATGCTGGTCCGTTTATGACAAAATCCAGTATCTTCCAGCTCCCCTCTTTCGACAATACAATCGTCAGCTTGCGGAATGGGTAGAGGCGGCTGCTGCCCCGAGGGAGCAACTTCCTGGAGGGCGCCAAAGAGGGAACACACCAGCAGGCCCAGCGTGCCCCTTGGGTGGGATTCTCGTTCGTTTTGATGGTGCGACGCGGCGGGGAGTGGGAGGAAGCATTGGCTTCGTTGGATTCGATAGTACCCACTCCTTGGTCTGCGCATACGGTAAGTACTACGATGGCATCTCAGACCCGTTCTTAATGGAATTATTAGCCTTGAGGGATTCAATGTTATGGAGTCTTAATCATGGTTTTTCTGCTGTATGTTTTTGTGGTGACTCGCAACTGGTCATCCGTCGTGCACTGGAGAATGACGTCAATCATGATCGAGGCGGCGCAGTGCTCGAGGAAGTGCGGAAGTTGAAGACTTCTTTTACTTTTATTTCTTTTGTTTTTGCTCCTCGTAGAACTAACAGGGCTGCCCATCGCGTGGCACAAACGGCCCTTGCATCGGTAGCGGCCCTTATGGTTGACTACCGCATTTTTATTTCCACTGCATTGTAATATCCTATCTATTACGACCTATCTATGACAAAAAAAAAATATAAACAAATTCAGTATGATATTCAGTATATCTCAAATACCGATACCAAACTTTCAGCCTTACCCTTTGATTCCCATCCCTATACAAAACAATTCCACCTTTCCCCGTCAGAAATAAACCTACAGGCGATAGTGGTTGATGAATTGTCTTGATCTAACTTTATATTCTAGTATGCAACAACACCAGTCGTACAGTTTCCTATTAATTTATTTTATACAGCACATACCACAAAGAATGTTATCTGCTCTTGCTCTCTTATCGTATGTTTATCGCCGCCTCTCTACAACGAATCGACCACAGGTCAGCTCAAGAAACAATGATTCGAAGCTAGTACGGTACATAAGAAACTGAAACACTTATTAATTCACAAGAGATTATATATACAATAATACCAAATAATAACACACTTCTCATCTGGGTTCGACCAAGCTCTGTGTCGTACTGTTCTCAGAAGAATGGCTATAGGACTCGGAAGCGGTAGCTGGTCTTACGGGCTTCCTAGTTTCACCAATCCCGCTACTATTATGCTGATGGTTCAAAAATGGCGGCTGTGTTGGGGTAGGAATTTCATGGTCTCCCACCACCATCTTTGCCACCACTGACATCGATGGCCGCAGGTCTGCGGAAGCTTGCACGCATAACAGCCCTATCTCTAGCAATCGAGTGGCTTCCTCCCGTTGGAAATCGCCTTGTAAATCTGGATCAACAGCTTCACACAGATCACCACTTTCATACAGATTCCACACCTGCTTTATATTTGTGAGGAACATATTACTGTCAATTTGTAATGTTACATTCAAAAAGTTGAAAAGACAGCCAAAAAAGGGGGTGGATTCAAGAGTTCAAACCGTTTGAATAATAGAATACGGGTTCCTCGAGAAGGAGTTGCTTCTCCTCCCTGTCACAACTTCTATCAGCACGATCCCGAAGCTGTACACATCTGCCTTCTCGGTCAGCTTGCCTCGAACAACATATTCAGGAGCCATATAACCTCTGGGACACACACAAACCAACAATCAATCAATTTTGTTTAAACTCCAATCTGAAGAATGCATTGCAAAAAGAACAGAGGTGACTGCATCTTGTTCAGTATAAAGCTTACAATGTGCCTGCAACTGCAGTGCTTATGTGGGTTTGGCCTTCGGGAAACAATCTTGCAAGTCCAAAATCAGCAATTTTGGGAGAGAAATCTTCATCCAGCAGAATATTGCTCAACTTAATATCTCTATGTATGATTCTCAATTCTGACTCCTCGTGAAGAAAGGCTAGTCCTTCGGCTGTTCCAAGTATGATATTAAACCTTCTCTGCCAAGTCAACGGCTCAGCGTTCATGTTTCTTCCTGAACCCACTGGCAAACAAGAAACGGGAACATTAGGCTCGCCATGGCCATCGTTCTTGGAGAGAATAATTTACCACAGTCGAAAACAAAGAGAGACTAGAACTAGAAAGCCAACCATCAAGGTATTCATGAAGGCTTTGATTTGGAACGTATTCATAAACTAGGAGGCTTTCAGGGCCAGTGATGCTGCAACCCAATAACTTGACAAGGTTCTTGTGTTCAATTCCACTGATCAAGTTGACTTCGTTGAAGAAATGATCCACCCATTGCCTTGTGTTGAAGAAGAGCCTTTTTATAGCCACTGTTTTGCCATCACCCAATATTCCCTGACCAAGCTCTCCACTAAAGGTCGTAAGCTGAACCAGCAAGAACTCATTGCTACATCACAGAGATTATAATGAGCTGAAACTTTACCTTGTAAACCGACCCAGATCCTCCTTGTCCCAGCTTATTAGATTGGTGGAAGTAATTGGTAGCTTTTTCAAGAGACTCATATGAGTGATTGAGCCTGGACTTGTTCACAGTAAGTAGCAGAGCTCCAAGGTCCTTCCTCTCTGAAAATTCATTACCAAAAAGGCCAAGAATTAGAACAACATTTCTCCCCCTATGGCACACAAAAGGGACTCAGATTCAACATTACGTTAAGCTTACGGGTTTGCTTTCGGCGGATCCTTCTCCTTGCAAGTAAAACAGCAGCTAAAACAATGATCCCAGCTGCCACAGCTGCGGAAATCGAAGCCAAAATCACACCCAAGTGGCTTCGCCCTGATGATCCAACAGCCGATATCACTAAACAAATCAACCTTTTTTGAACTCTGGAAATTTTTTATTCACAAGCCGGAGACAATACAACTACCTCCGTTTCCAGAAGGCGCGGGGGAGCTGGAAATGTTGTAGAATCTCTGATTGGAGTATCTCATATAACACCCAGCTTTCAGAACTCTGCCTTCTACCCTGGGAGTACAATTCCCAATCTCCGAAACCGCGTCCGCCAAACAACTCCGGCAATCGCTTCCGTTGACCAACTCCCAGCACTGGGCTAATCCGAAAACCGAAACGTTTCCCCTCTCCACCGAACCCACCGAGAACCCGTCATTGGCCACCGCAAGCTCGCTCAAATTCCTAACCAACGCAATCGCGCCGGCGCCGTAATCCCCCAAATCCCCACCGGAGAAATTCTGCGGCGCGCAGACCGCGGCGTCCTGGGGGCCGGAGCTCTCGTTGAAGAAGTCGTAATCGTCGTACCTCATGTAGCAGCCGTCGTAGAAGAGGCGACCGCCTCGGACCGCCCGCTGGAAGGGGAGGCAGCGGAGGATCTGGGTCTTGCACTGGGCGAAGCAGACGTTGCAATCTCTGCCGTCGAGGTCCTTCATACACTCGCCAAAGGCATAGACCGTGGCATTTCCGGTTCCTTTGATGACGGCGGCGTATCCCTGGTTGGCGATTAGTGGGTTCATGTCGTTGAGCGCCGCCAGGAAGTTGGTGATGAAGGTCTGCCGGATTGGGTCTGCGGCGGTCCGGTTGGCGCACATCAGAGCTGCCTCCGTGGCTCGGGGATCGGAGAAGGAGAGTTGTACTAGGAAGAGAGACGGGAAGGAGAAGACGAAAACGAGTAGGTAGCCATGGCGGATGAAGAAAAAAAGAGAAGAGCTCATTTCCTTGGCTTTCCTCTTTTGTTTAATTTCTGTGTTTTGGTGATGGGTGGTAAGTTAATTTTCAGTGATAAATGTAACCGACTGAAATTGGCAGAAAGGCATGGAGGAGCGGTTGGGCGTTGGCCGTTGCGTAAGGGAGGTGCTTCTGGTGAATTTCCGAAGAACAACGAGGACGAAGATGGAAATTGCAGAGGCATGTACCTCTAGCTTTGAAATGGTTTCAACTTTTGACTCTAAGACCATCCACAACGTGGGAGGGTGGGAAAAGAGGGAAAAGGGGGAAAATGAGAGGGTTTGATCACAATGTTGGTGTGGGAAAAAGGAGTAATTGGTTGAACACTTTTTTTCGTAAAATCAATTTATAGTTGATTTCAACACTTTATTTTTATATAATGATCATTATTTTTACATAATTAGTGATAATTAATGAATACGAACATTTTGATATAATTTTTTTTCTAATTTGGACATAATTTTTTTCATCACTAATTAACGTCATTAATGACGAAATCGCAATAATTTATACAAGAAAGTTGTTACATTGATAGTTGAACATAAACATAATTAAGAAGAAATAAAAGCAAACAAATAAACACTAAACCCTAAAAACAAACACTAAACCATTAAAATAATAACAAAAAAATAAAATAAAAACAAACTGAAGTGAGCCCCACCCCTTCCCCTTTCCCCCCACCATTTGTCTCATCTGGTGGGTTTTCCCACCCACTAAACCCACAAAACCCATTTAATCCACTATTCCCCCCACATTGTGGTCACATTTCTCCTTTTTCCCACAAAACCAACCCACGCTGTGGGTGGTCTAAGGATGTGGAAGCGGCGGGCGACTTTCCTGAAGAAGGGGAAAAAAATTTAGAAGCGCCGCCTTTTAGTTTTATTATAAAATGGCCCTAATTTTATTTTATTATTAAAGAAGCTGCAGCTGCAGCTGCAATGTAGCAAGCTCAGATGGCAAAATAACCCTAGTGTAGTGCTGAATGTATAGAAGTGGAGAAGAGGATGAGTTTGAGTACTTGGAGCTTAAGAAAGTTGAAGAACTCTACTACAAATAGAAGTCACGGGTCCAGGTTATCAAGGAAGGGGACTCAAATATATCTTTTTTCTATAAAATGGAAGGTGAAGACTTAGAAGCAACAGATTACTCGCATGATGAATGAGCAAGGGGAAATGGTGACTGATATACAGCAAGTAGGTGCTATAGCAGTGGATTTCTATACCAAGCTTATTGATATTGAGGATACACATGTTGAACATCAGTCTGTTGAATTTTATCAAGGAATTTTACAGCACAGATTAACAGCTGAGGATGAGTCGCTGCTAATGTAGGGCAGCACAAGGGCAGAACAAAAAAACAAGTTTTTCACTCTCTTGGTCGAGACAAGGCGTCAGGAACTGATGGGTTTCCCGCTGAATTTCTTAGAGCGCATTGGGATGTCATTGGCAGAGATGTAGAGGAGGTAACACTTGCTTTCTTCTCCATTGGGATTATGCCTACTATTGTTAATAACACTATTTTTACTCTGGTTGCTAAGATCCCTAGTGCAGAGAAAATGAAGGACTTTAGACCTATTTCATGCTGCAACACCCTTTACAAGGGTATATCTAAGATACTAGCAAATAGGTTGTCTATGGTTCTCCCAAACATCATAAGCCGCTCTCAATATGCATTCATTAAGGGGAGAGCGATTAGTGATAATATCTTGCTAGTTTCTGAGCTTGTTTGAAATTACCACTATAAGAATGTTACTCCAAGATGTGTGGTGAAAATTGATATCATGAAGGCGTTTGACTCTGTTAACCGGAAGTTTATCTTCACTGTTATGAAAGCAATGGGGTTCCCCTCTAGCTTTCTTAAGCTGTTGTCTGCCTGTACCACTACTCCATTTATTAAAGTGCATTGAATGGTGGTTTATGTGGGAATATCAAAGCTTGTAAGGGGCTAAGACAGGGAGACCCACTGTCTCCCTATCTATTCACCATAGCTATGGAGGTATTAGATGGTTTGGCTAGGAAGGCAGTCTAGGATAATCAAATTCCCTTCCACCCAAGGTGTAAGCCTCTTCTGATCACTCATTTATGTTTTGCGGACGATTTGATGATGTTTACAAATGGGTCTGTTAGAGGAGTTGCTGGGATAAGGAGGTTAATGGATGGACTTTATAAGTTGTCAGGGCTCAAGTGCAATGCAGCAAAGTGCCAGTTGTTTTGTGCAGGGATTTCCAAAGAGGAGATGCAATATAACTCAGGTATCACAGAATTTCCACTGGGAACTCTGCCTGTTCGATACTTAGGGGTGCCATTGATCACTGGTAAACTTACACGACAGGACTGTCAAGTCCTTGTTGATAAAATTACACAGAGACTGCGCAGTTGGAGATCGAGATTACTGACATATGCTGGGAGAATCCAACTCATCTCAACTGTGATCACTAGTACGTTGCAATATTGGCTGAACATTTTTCTGCTTCCTCAGTATATCTTCAAGGAAGTTGAGCGATTGTGCAATGAGTTTCTTTGGGATTCTGCTATGGAGGGAAGTCGGGCACGTGTAGTGATGGTGTGGGACAAACTTGCATTACCTAAACAGGAAGGAGGACTGGGGATTCGTAACTTCAGTTTATGGAACAAAGCGTGTGTCCTAATGCATATTTGGGAGGTCTTAACTTCAGGAGGCTCTCTTTGGGTGGCGTGGGTCACTAGATACAGGTTGAAGCAGAAGAATATATGGGAGGTGTCTAGTACATCTACTGAAACATGGGTATGGAGGGGATTCCTGAAATGTGGAGAGTTTGCTTACCCTCACGTTGCAAGGGTTCCTCCTCATGTGTTATGGCAAGGTAAGAAAATGCAAAAGTACTCTATTAAGAGGATTTAGAATTCTATAAGGGATCGACCACGAGAAGTGAGCTGGTGGAAGCTTGTATGGTCAAAGGAGATAATCCTCAGGCATGGCTTTATTCTGTGGTTGGCTATGCGTAATAGAATGGTTACTCAGGATAAGTTGATTGCTTGGGGAAAATCCTTGTCAGGTTTATGTCTATTGTGTCCAGGAGGCTTGGAAAGTCGAAGCCATCTTCTGGTGTCTTGCTCGTATACTATTTGTGTGTTGCAGCAAAGCTTAAAATGTTTCTTGCCGCCAGCTGCAGCAGACTGGGATGGCATTGTGACTTGGTGTGAGCAGCAGTGGAGTACAAAGAACCCAAGGCATTGTTTGTGCAGGTTACTATGGAGCACACCCCTCAGCCATATCTGGCGAGAAAGATGTACCAAGCTCTATGGCAAGAAGACTATTATGTTGCCAAGAGAGTTGATTAATGTAATTCATAGTGATGTTTTGTTTCGAGTGGTTGGGGATCCTATTCTTCAGACCGAGTTGGAATATATAGATAGGTTATAGTTATAGAGCTTACTCCTTTATAGTGTTGTTGCCCTTTGCTGGATGGTTTTTGGTTGTACTGTTTGGGAGGCACATCAGGTTTTTCTGATGGTTGCCTGAGCTTAATGCAATTTTTGATTTCAAATTAAAAAAAAACTTCGTTTGGATGAGTTAAATGTTAATGTGGTATTTGTAGAGTTAAATAACTCACATATTGTTCATGTGGTATTTCAGTGTTATTTCAGTGGTAATTGAAATAAAGTATCTCGTTTGGATGAACCATGCACCTAAACTCCAAATGATAAGATTCCAAACTCGCAAAAATTATTTTTTTTATCGAAGTCGCACAATTCAAGAACAGACTAGAAAAGGGAATTTTTAGGGTTTTTGTCTCTTTGGGATAGGCTGGAATTGAAAGTGCAATCTCAACACAAAATCGGGAGAAGACTTTATCAGTATAATAGGTAGAATCAGTGGCGTAGCCAGAATTTCATTCAAGGGGGTGCATTAAAAATATAACATAAAATAATTTTTTACTATAATTTGTTATGAAGTTTCATGTTCATATTACCAAATTATTTTAAAACTACATAATTATTCAAATTATTAAGATTGATCTTAATGTTATTTCACCATATCATCATTCACAATTTCGTTTCATTCTATTAGACTGCTCGAGTATTCCATTGCAGTAAATATTCTACTAACATGTGTATTGACAATAGGTACGTAGTAGCAAACTAAACCTAATTTGAGAAGCAAATACATTGACAAGAACCAATTTTCTCTTATGACTATCGTTGTCGTACAAAGTTATTGATTTTCTCTAATAATCCGCACGTCATACCATCTTAATAAACTATAGTAATGTAGATATTAGTAGATTAAATTAATTTATGTAATCAATCATGGTCGGATAATAAAAATTTGCGAATTAACAATACGATTTTGGGTTCATTGTTCATTATTGATATATTAATAGTTTAGTACTACTATTTTTTTTTTTTGGTTCTCCAAATCAAGGGTGTGCCATTGAACCCTCCCTAATAAGGGGCTAGCTCTGCCCCTGGGAAGAATCTCGACCACAATCAAGGGAAAAACTTGATTGATACAGAGAAAAGTTCAAAACTAAATCTCAAAACCAAAATAAAATTATTTTTCTGCCAAAAACTAACCTTAAAATTCGAGTCTCAGCCTTTATATAGGTTTGGACAATTAAAAATAACAAAAATAACTTAAGAACACAGAATCCCATCACCTAGGTCTGATCCCTGGTCGGACCTTGCAAATACCCAATCAGGGATTTTAAGTTTAACCCACCGACCGGGGCCCTCTATGGATCCATTCCCCGATCAACTGGCCAAATTCCGGTCGGGGATTTAATATATATAACAAGGGTCTTCGTTTCTCCTTTCCCAGGCTTCCTCCTTATCTCCCGGTTGGGGGTCACAACAGTCATTTCCCGTTGAAGAAGTTTTGCCCTCAAAGCTTGTATTTTCCTGCAAGAGACAACATCTAGGGGTGTACATGGGTCGGGTGGTTCGGGTTTAGTCATTTTAATCACCCGATCCATGCACTACGGTTTGGGAAATATCAAACCCAAACCCACCCAAAAATATTTAAACCCTACGGTTTGTTTCTAATTGGGTTGGGTCGGGTTGGCGATATTTTTAAGTAAAAACCCAACCCAACATAAAATATATAATTATTCTACATCATAAAAATATTTTATAACTAATTAAAATTTCAAACGAATGAACCAAGGTGAAAGGTATGAAAATTCACAAATGTTGTTTAAATTTTAATAAAATGTAATTTACTTCAACATATGTCTTGTTTTTTCACGAT